GCCACAGGAATGAAGAACCCTAAACCTTCCCTGGAAGGCCCCTGAACCCGAAGCCCCCTATCATAAAAGAAACCCTGAAGTCGAGCATCCTTGAAGAGCCGCCTAGAGAATCCTTCTTATATGCACTTCTAACACACTGAACCCCGAAGTGCTACGTAAACTCTAAACCCTCATAGCACCCTGGCGAAACCCTAAACCCTCAACCCTCAACCCTAAACCCTGAACCCTCAACCCCAAGACAGCAACCTGTAAGAGACCCGTAAGAACCCCTAAAAAAGCTTCCAAGGGACGGCCTCAATGTTCTGGATATTTGGCTCAGGAACAGGGCATGCCGAGCAGGTGGGATCTTTTGCTACAGGGCTTCAGGATTTAGCAATTTAGGGTTTAGGGGAGAGGGTTTATGCGGTTTACGGCTTTTGGATTTGGGGCTTAGGGTTAAGGCTTCAGTATCTGGGGTGTAGGTCTTTTGGCTTTGAGGTTCAGAGCTGTTTTTAAAGGATGGGATTTCGGGTTTTGTGTCATTTAACCACTGAACTACGATCTTTCAGGGTTGAAAGGTGGCGCCCTGAATTCTCACTGCTGCTTTTGGCCGGTTTAGGGTCTGTGCCGGGGGCAGGGGCTTCAGGTTTCTGGCGGCTTGAGCTTAAAGTGGATGTTGTAGGGTTTAGGGTTTAGGGTTTAGGGTTTGGTGTAGGTGGAGGCAGCAGAGAAGGGTCGAATGCAATTCGTGCCATGGCCCACCAGGGCGGGGCCAATACTTAAACATGTCTAAAGCACCTTCAGCCCTGATGAAACCCTAAACCCCCTATAAGCCCTAAGCTACACATGGAGTCCCTTTCGCTTCCCCTTGAGATCTCTACGAAATCAAGGACCTCAGAACCCAAGTCTTGTTGGGGATACCTCTGCACCGTGGAACTGTGCGACTCTAACTGCACCCTTCCCCCAAAGTTTAGGGTTTAGGGTTTAGGGTTTAGGGCTTAGGGCATAGGGTTTAGGGTTTAGGGTTTAGGGTTTAGGGTTATAGGGTTTAGGGTTTAGGACCGCAAGCACCACAACCATGAGCCTTTTGTGGGGTTTTAGGGTTGAACCGGACCGGTCATAGGAGCTGTCTCAGACTAGGGGGCTGTATTCTTGAAGACTACATCGTGGGATTCGTTTGAAAAGATCCGCGGAGAGAGCTTTGAATTCCCAAAATCCTAAACCCTAAACCCTAAACCCTAAACCCTAAACCCTAAACCCTAAATCCTGGCAGGTATCTTTTTCACTCTCACCGACGTGCAGGTGACATTGGACGGAGTGACAACTAACCTAACGGACCCGGCCCGGGGGGGGCTGGAGGGCGGGGGCTAGCTTTTCCTGAAGCCTCTTGAGCTTATCATATGGGCAGTTCTCGAAATTAAGTTCCTTTTGGGGGTCTTTTGTAAGGGTCCCGTACTATGTTGGGGACCTAAAAACGGACCCTAATTTAGAGAACTACCTGTGTCTTGCATTTAGGGCCTAGGGTTTTATTTTATTCAATTCACGGCCGAGGGGTGGTTGCTTTAGTTTGATTGCATTTTCGGGGGTCATGGTTTCTTCTCCGGGAGATCAGAGATTGACCAAGTTTCCCGATTTAAGCTGGATCTTCGGCTTATTTCACTGTCGTTAGTCCAACAGCTAAAAAAGCGGGAAATTGCTGTTCCAGAGCCTTGTAAAGGGATCGGGCTTAGCCAGTAGACATTACAAAGGAAACGGCCGCAGCATTCGCCAATGCAAAAGGTTCAGCATGGTCTAGCCAACGAGTTGGACTGCCGAAAGACGAATAGCAGCCTGCTATATAGTTTCCGAACACGAGCAAGTGGAGCAACACGTGGCTGCTAAAAGAAGGCGTCAGTGACCCTATTAGTGCCTTGGTGTTCATTTCCTCGTCTGTGGGTGCGTCGGTTGGTGTAGTTTGGCCGGACATGTTGTCCAGCTACAACTGCACAGCTTGTGTGGGCAGAGCGTGTTCTCCATCCTCTGCTTGCGCGAGCTCGGCGATGTTCGGCACTACAGCTGCCTGCAGTAGCAGCTGCCCATCGTCATGCGTCAGTCGTGCCCGGTGCTCAAGCTTTGAACGTGAAATTACGTGTGTCAGGGCTTAGGTCGGGGTTCGAGTGAAGGTTGGCGAACTCGAGGATCTTGCGAGGATCCAGCTAGGTGGTACAGCCAGTGGCCAGCAACATTGTAACATGCAGATCAAGCCGTGTTTGTCGTGCATGTCCTCTTGAACTGTGCTGCTCCAGCTTGAAGATACTGACCATCGAAAGCTCCTTTGCTTGTTTGATATTCTGGCATAGCGCTGCGAGCGACTGCGCCAGCCTTTCTTCCGGGCCACCCGCGGCGTGGCATTTTTTGCTTGTTTGATATTCTGGAATGGCGCTGCGAGCGACTGCGCCAGCCTTTCTTCCGGGCCACCCGTGGCGTGGCATCTGGTGCAGAAAGGCCGCGCCGCAATCGCCAGCTGTAGTAATCCATTCTGAAAAAACGCTAGTTGAAACATCATGCAGGAAAGTTGCGATTGAGCATCAGCAAAAAGCAATTGGCAACATCGCGCAAGCAAGACTAAAAGGTGGAAAGTGTAGAGCACTCGCTAGCAAAAAACAACTAAGCAGAACGGCACGGGCATCAAGACCAACGACGCAGAGAAGAACGTCTCTTTATACGTATGCACATGTTTTGATACATGAATGAGTGCGGATGCTTTGGGTTACAAAGTGTAGGTGTTTATCTCCGGTGATGGTGTTGCAGTCACGAGCTGCATCCACACACACACACACACACATTCTCGATCAGTTCTCAAAGTGATGGTGGCAGACAAGGTAGTTCATGGCGGCGCACGCACAAGCTGCGTCCAAGGCACTGCTTTTTATTGGGTGTGTTTAGGTGACTCTTTGTCTTCGGGTAGTGATGTCTTCGATAGGCCTTATCAGCAGGCCAGAAGACGTCCGCTAGCACTGCAGTGAGCTCCCTGGCCTGGAGCTCGCCATCAGGCGTCAATGTTGCTGAGGATGCAGAGCTCCTGCGGATGGTGCAAGCGTGGCCGGGCAACGAAGGAGAGTGAGGAGAATGAGAAGGGTGAGTTTCGTGTCAGGTTCACATGGATTTGATCCCAGGTGCGTGGTGAAAGCACACCGAAGGATAAAATCGACTTCGGTTGCGGCGGCGGTTCGAGGTGGAGTTCCTGATCGTAAAGGCTTCGATGCCAAAGTGGCATTTCTCCCCTCCTTTCTCGCCTACGTTCAGTTCAACAGCAGGACCAGGGCCTCAGCTTTCAGTTCTGTAAGCTGTCGGGAGGCTGCTTCCTTCGTCGCCTCCGACCTGTTGAAGCTTCGACCTCTAAGGCGACAGATTTAAAGGAGCTAGCCTCAGGGTTGAAAGCTGAGGCCCCTTTTTTGCGGGAAAAGGAGGGTGGGGCCATGCGGCGGTGGGGCTGGAGGGTGGGCAGCTCGCAGTGAAAGATGTCAGCGCCATCGAGTGCGTCCTGGGTTCTTTCGGCTCGGGCCTGAACTCCGTGCAGAAGAACAAGGCTCGGCAGAAGCTGGCTTTTTTGGCCAAGTGGGTGACTTAGAGGTTTTGCAAAGTTTGCAATTCTCATGCGCGATATATCATCGAAGTTGTGGCCTGTGCTCGTGCACCGCAGAACTTGCCGCGACGATGCCAGATGCGAGCCTCTTTCTGTATAAGCCAACATTTTCGTGAAGTTGAGTCGGCTTTACTTTCATGCCCTGGGCCGCATGGGCGTGATGCGGTATAGAGACGCAGTTCATGCGGTCTTTCTGTCAAAATCCTAGCCTGCTTGGGTGCAGTCGCAAGCTGCGACTACTCGTGGATTTAGGACTTTGTTTTCGGTTCCTGGGTGGAGTTAGATGTGCTGGGCGCCCATGGAGCTCCATCCCAACATCCTAGACAAAAAACCCTAAAACCCCCGGCTCTATATATACCTCAAGCAAGATAACCCTTTTATCCGGTACGTCATATAGTACCACCACACCGTCCCATGTCACGTTGGGTCTTTTTCTCGTAATGTGCCATGACCGGGTGCGCAAAAGCCTTAGAGAGTCAGGGACAAAGGGGCTTTTGGACTCGGTTTCTGATTGTTAGCCACTGACGCTCCATTTATTTGAGATTCTCCTCTTCCACTTTATCGCCTATGCAGTGCATCACTTGCTGGCAGTATTTCGTTAACGTTTGGAATACCACTTATTACGTGATTTTTTGTTGGCAGCTGGGGCCTCGCTATCCTAGGATGTCTTGCATTTCCTTGGATTTTTTGCGTAGAATTTCGAAAGACTTCGGTTTTCATCGGAAAAATATATGTCTGACTTCGTGTCTAGTGGCGGCAGAAGTCACTGATATTATGGCCCCGCAGGGGTACTTGAAACAACAGTCTTACCATGTCTGACCAGCTTGGGGCTGAGGGTTTTGGACGAGGGGTTGCAGTTCAGGCCAAGAGGTTCATAATCAAAATGCCCGAAGCCACAAGCGCTAAACCCCAAGCCTTGTGCGTGTGGTTCTCTAACAGATTCTACTTACTCGTGGTTCCCCGAATGCGGACGCCAAGCAGGACTCCACCCCACTTCAAACCCCAAGTAATATAGGAGCCTCAATTTACCAATATTTCCCGTAGGGTCCCTTATTATATTTGTATGTAGTATTGAGGAGCCCAAAACCTCATTCTAATTATTCACCCTAAACCCTAATTAGGCCTAAACCCTCATTAGGCTTCAACCCGAAACCCTAAACCCTAAGGCCCCTACATTACCGCAAGACTCGTAACCCCAAGCCTTGACCCTTTAAGCCAAGAAGCCTACCAGCACCCCCCAAGTACCCTTGAATAGAGCCCGTATGGTCCTTTTTAGTGGGTATTTAGGGCCCCAAACCTTAAACCTTAAACCCTTAAGCCCTAAACCCTTAAACCCTAAACCCCTAAACTCTAAACCCCATTATGATAGAGGGTAGTTGGAGGGTGCTGGTAAGCCCAGAACGTAGAACCCCAAAAGCCCCAAACCATCTCCTAAGGGCTGAAAGGTGCCGGGCCCGAAGTTAAGCTTTGACCTCGGGGCCTTGAGGGTTTAGGGGTTGAGGGTACATTTGACCCCAAACCTAAAACTTTCAAGTGAATCACCCTCAACTCCCAAACCTTAAAAGGCAAAACGCACAAACAGCATATCAAACGTCCAATGCAACAAAATAATCAGCACACCAACACTAAACCGGCTCCGCTCGCAGGACGTGGGGCCTATCCCAGACTGCCATGCGAGCTCCGACCTGCGAGTATGCGACTTCGATGGCTTCGTTGGATACTTTAACTCTCTTCTTTCTCGACTTATAAAGAACTCATAATCAAGGACCTTTAAAATGTAAGTTTCTTGGGGTGCAAGCAGAAGCAGGGACAGATGAAGGGATTGGGTCGGGGGGTTCTAGGGCCTACGGGCTCGGGTTGAGGGTGTAGGTTTAGGCGTGTAGCTTTTCCCGTTACTGTTTTCCTCCGGGGGTTGCTTCATATGGGTTCTGTGCTAGAAGGGTTGAGCAAGAGCGGTGGGGATGGATGTCTGAGGGTGATTTTCGGGTTTCGGGGTTTTGGGCACGGCGATTCGGAATTTCAGGGGTCTGAGGCGTTTTGGTTCGGAAGGCTTCGGGTGCGGGGTTTGTGGGGTGTTTGTTAAAGCTTAGGGTTTGTGGCTCGACTTGGGCTTTGAGGTTATGGGTTTGGGAGCCTTCCGCAGCCAATTTCGACGATAACTCCATGCTGCCTACGTTCAGTTGTCGTCGGCAGCCGTTTTCGAGTGTTGGTTTGAGGTTTAGGGAGTTTAGGGTTTAGGGGTCCTAAGCAAGCTTGCGCTCACATTCTGAATATCAAGGCCCTGAGAGAAACAGGTTTGTCTTAATCAGCCGGTTTACTTGGACCCTGACGAACCTATATACCTTTGTGAAAGGCTTATATAAGGAAGTCAGATTCAACCTGAAACCCTAAATCCTACATCCGAAACCCCAATAAACCCTTGCCCCAAACCCTAAGCCCTAAAACGGTAGGTTTGTAGTTTACAGGGGCCCTTGGGTTTCTTTGAGGTTTAGGGTTTAGGAGCTTTAGGGTTTAGGAGTTAGGAGCTTTAGGGTTGAGGAGCTTTAGGGTTGAGGATTTAGGAGCTTTAGGGTTTAGGAGGTTGAGGGTTCAGGGTTTATATAGGGGGGCGAGAAGGCCTCGTTTTGAGGACACCAATCTGATGTGTAAAGGAGTTCTCCTGAGAATCGGTGCCTAATAGAAACCTGAGAGGCAGGATCGATATTGCATG